CACTGGGCATAGGTAAGCTGACCATCACCTTTTTGATCATCACAATTTGCCCTGTCCCTTTTCCCCTCAATACTATGCCCTGGTATCACAAACACATTGAATAATTAGAGTTCCTCCTTTATACTTTATCCTACTGTAGCGGATAAGCTCCAGGAAGACGAAAGCAAGATGAAATGGGCAAACTCCAAACTATTTGTCACAAATTTCAAGGCTCTTAAACTATTAAAAAGGAGTCTGGATTCTATGGAGAGTTAATTTGTCAAGCACAGATATGGTGTCATATGCGGTAGCTAGATGATGAAAAATGGACTTGAAATATATCTATTGTTAGGGAAAAATCATATTCCTAGAACTTTGGAAAATGAAATTTCTTCATCATGGTAACTGCTTGGTAAATCTTTGAACCAATCCATAGAAGTTTATTATGTAGAAGGGGGTTGCAGTTCCCTTTTACTAGCACAGGCTTTTGTGAGGCAAAAAAAAAAAAAAAAAGAAGGAATGTTACGTATTTATTCCAGACCATCTTATCTGGCCAATAGAGGCTCACTGAATTCCTGAAACAATATTGCATCTGTGAGCATCAGTGGAAATATGCATCTCGCTAATGAATACTATTCTTATCAGCAAGGGGTCATACAATAACAGGATCTGTTACACCTCCAGTTCTTACCTAGTTCTAAGAATTTTGCCTTTTGGTGCTGGTCCTAGATTTTTGTAAAGGGAGCCTTACAGCCTGAGTGTGTCAAAATTCTTCCATTGCCTAATTTTTGCTAATAGGCATGAATGAACTTTGTGTAACCTATACAACCAATAGATACTTTATAAAAGAAGCAGGATATCCATTTCAAAACAATCCAGTATTTACTTCCTTCTTCACCTTCTTCTGAACCTCCAAGGTTATCATCTCTTCCTTTACATAGCAGGTACTTTACTTAAAAATGGCAAGCCAAACTTCACAAGAAAACTATGCTTGCAGTATTACTTTCCTCTGCCCTGAAGTATCTGTATTTTTAAGCCTTCTAGGGCAATTAGCATTTTGACATGGGAGGTCTTCATTTCATATGTCAGCTAGTTTCTGTGTTCTCTGGCTTCACTGCCATGTCACCCTCAACTATGCTTTATATCTCCAGTATTTCCACTTCATTCATGTATCAAACTGTTCTTGATTGCATATAACAGAGCTAGTAAATCCATTCCTTTGCTACATGTCACACATGCCACAACATCACAAGCCCTGTGTCCCCTGGCTGCCACTCACTTGTTTTGATTACCTGTGAAAGACACTGCCATATGTTGACATCCCTGCTGCCCATGTGATTTCCACACTATCACCTCTTCTAGGAAGGGGATGAAGCTCATCGGGCCCACTGAGCAATGATACAGAGCCAGCAGAGAAATGAAGTCATGCCTTTTGCATAATGATGATACAAATACTTCTGACACTGACTACAATGGAAATGCCTCTTGTATAATGTTCTCTTAGATAATTTATTAGCAGGGAACACGTATCACTATTCATTTCTTCTTTCCATATCCTGCACTCACTGAGCATTCAGCATGAGAAGGATTAAATATCTCTGCTAAATATACCGGCTGTGGTGGGTTGAGCCTGGCTGGATGCCGCATGCCCACCAAAGCTACTCTATTGCTCCCCTCCTCAGTCGGGCAGGGGAGAGAAAGTACAAAGGAAGGCTCGTGGGTCAAGATAAGGGCAGGGCGATATCACTCACCAATTACTGTCACGGGCAAAACAGGCTCAAATTGTGGAAATTTAATTTAATTTATTACCAATCAAATCAAAGTAGGGTAATGAGAACTAAAACCAAATCTGAAAACACCTTTCCCCCACCCCTCCCTTCTTCCCGGGCTCAACTTCACTCCCAATTTTCTCTACCTCCTCCCCCACCATACATACAGAGTGTATGAGCTCTCCCAGATGCACAACAGCTTGTCAGCCTTTCTACTGTCAATTCAATTCACAGTGATCCCTCCTGCATGGATTATCTTAAAATAGCACAGTATAAATGAAATCTTGCAATTATCACAAACACCCAGGTGTTTGGTACGGCGAGATGGCCTATAGGAGAGTTGCTAACTTGGCTTGGAGAATTTGTGTGCTTGATCAGTATTTTCTGAGGGCAGTGGCCACAGTGTCCGTACATACTGCTGCAGCAACACACGGCTAATGTGACTTACTACATCCGTATGAAAAAGGTAGGGGTAGCTGGTCCTGCTGTTGTCCTTCTGAAACTAAATGATAAACAGCACAGGAAAAATAGAGGTTGGAGAGAGAAGCTGAAGGAGAAAGAGAGATATTAATATAAAGCCTTGTTGGCAGACAGCCATGCTACCTTCAGCTTGCCAAACTGCCACAGCCAGCCATAAGGGCTTTCCCCTTTTTCTCTTCCTCCCTTTCTTGTAATAAGTTACTCTTGCAGACATTAACTTGGTTATTCTGCTAGTTGATGAGATGCTGTGTATTCTCTTATTCTATTTTCTGTTTACCATTACATAGTGTACAAAATGACTTATTATTGCTTTTCTAGATTTGTAAACATTATTCTCACACCTTTTTAAATAGCCCCCTATTACTGTAATTATGAACATGTTGTGTTTGTACCATCCTGAAAAGTGGTATGTGTAACAGAAACATGCTGTTCTTCTGTAGTGATAGGAAAAATAATATTGTTCATTTGAACTTGGTTTGGCTTAGTGGGGTGTTAATGCACTAAAGCGGACATTATTAACAGTATAGCTTTACTTAAAAGGCTACAGGAAGGAAGACCATGTTGCATTGCAGAAACATTATATTTGTGGGGAAGCTGATTATTTAAGCCAGAAATTAATAAAATGTGAAGCTGATGATGCTGTATGTTCTCTTCAGTCTCTATAAATGGCTAAATATATTAGAGAAATCAATGTATCAGTCACACTGAATATATAGTAAAATATACTAGTTTCCAGTAACTAAGAGATTCTATAGTAAGCATCCTTCCTATAGATTTCCGGATCCACGTGCAGGCTGAGGGTCATAACCTAGGCTTGTGTACTGGGAAGAGCAGAGGTTAGAAACTCGCAAATCTTGTACTATCTGATAGTACTTTTCTGTATAGATTTGCTTTGCTTTGCTGTCGAGTTGTACCTTGGAAGAAATCCATGTGCTTTGGTGTCCCAGTTAGTTTCCAGTAACTAAGAGATTCTATAGTAAAAGAGTTGTAATCTCCATGTACAGCAGAGAAAACATGAGGAGGAGATAGCCAGCATTTGCATCAGGCGTCCTTCCTATAGATTTCCGGATCCACGTGCAGGCTGAGGGTCATAACCTAGGCTTGTGTACTGGGAAGAGCAGAGGTTAGAAACTCGCAAATCTTGTACTATCTGATAGTACTTTTCTGTATAGATTTGCTTTGCTTTGCTGTCGAGTTGTACCTTGGAAGAAATCCATGTGCTTTGGTGTCCCAGTGACTGAAAACTAGACACTTAAAATGTTCTGTGTCTCCTTGAGTTGTTTGTCGTCTAGCTGTCTTTGCTTTGCTGTCGAGTTGTACCTTGGAAGAAATCCATGTGCTTTGGTGTCCCAGTGACTGAAAACTACAGACACTTAAAATGTTCTGTGTCTCCTTGAATTGTTTGTCATCTAGCTGTTCCACAGTCTACAGGAACCTTACGCTAACAGATGAAGAGTCTAAATGAGCTATAAACGTCTAGGCCTTTATTAAACAAAGTCAAGTGGGAGAGGAAAAAATCTCAGAATTTTTGTCACCTACATGCTTCTTTCCAATTCTAATAGCTGCTTTAATGCTTTTCTATCTGTTCCCCCTACTGAGGTTTCTATTCTTTGCTTAGTTTCCCTTTTGTGCATTTTATTCTCTGATGTACGAGATGGTCTGCTAAGTAACACATTCCAACCTCAGTCACTGAATGTGACAGCCGTGCTATATCTAATCATGAAATGCTGTGCTCAGACACTTGACAGTGTTTGAAAATATTACTCTTGCTCTAAAAACAATGTGAGGAGTTTAATGTAGGTGAATGCAACTATACTGACAATTGGAGAATGATAAATTAAATTGGAATACTATTTTTTTGTATTGTAAAACAATTTTGGGGTTTTTTTGCAATTCAACTATTAGAAGTTTTTCCACGAGGTTTCAGACAAAATACGAAGCTCATTTTTTAAAGACTGTAAACTCTGTAAAATTCAGTTTTTTCAAACGATAGGATAAATCCTAGTTCAAGGAACTGTATTTTAAGGAGAAGGGTTGAACTGAATTGAGGCTTACAGTGAAGCATCTTCAAGTATCCTGGAAAACTGAATTAGATTTTGCAGAGTTCTGTTACTTTTAAGATTACCCAGGAGGATTGTTTGTATTTCTAGCAAAACTCTAGAAAGCATATAATACATGCAGAGTGGAGTTAACTTGAAATCCTGTTAATCATGTACTTAGCATGTGTGTTTTTAGGACAGAACATACTTTCGTGATTTTGGCCCATTGTTTGTGATCTGTTTGAGGATTCCTGAGAATAAAAAGGCTATATCTAAATCTAGGATAATACTATCAGATGAAGCTCTGTCAAATTCAATAGGCAGAAGTAGATAAACTGAGCTACTGTGTACCACTTTGTAGTTTTAATCTTGGAAAATTGATAGTTTGCAAAAAATAAAGAGAACCGGTCTCCAATTTTATAGTTGCCCTATGTCCTCATAGGTGCTCATTCATCATTGTTTTTTCAAACTATCTGGTTTAGATGAGAAAAGAAATCATATTAAATTAAATTTACACATTTAACAGAATATACTGCTTTCTAGGTTGAAGAAAATAAACTAAAATTGCATTCTGGACACACAGTTACCATTAACAATATTGGAATTCTGGTGTTTAACAAGCCAAGAGCAACTCCAGAACTACATGTCTGTAATGAAATCTTCAAATGTTATATCTATCAATTAAAGCTTGTAATTATCTCACCAAATAAAGAATGGAGGTGGGTGTACTTACTATGTCAGCACGATAGCCACAGCATCATTTAGGACGCTCTCTCCAAACAAGAGCGTGTACAAATCTGCATCCACATGCAGCTCATGGAAAATAGCAAGGACTGTCACTATATGGAGACAAAGCAAAGTGAGTTTGTTTTTTTCATATTCCTCTGGCAGTTCAAGAAATAAAGCAATGTTAGAATATGGGTTTTGAGAAGTAGTTGTTACCTAAGTGGATAACAATAAATTAAAAGAGATCAAGTGAAGTACCTAAGACCCTTAAATCCAGCAAGTCTGTAAGTTTCGGTGCTTCAGCTGAGTTAGGAAGCAACTTTCCCTCTCACACAGAGAATCATGCATAATGAAAATGTCACAGCATTTTTTTACTGTGCATAAAGCACTTTGATCTCATGACCAAGGAGAAATAAGGGTGCTGAAAAGATGGGTTTTGCCATAGACTTTGTGCATGATGAGAGTAGTGGTTTACCTATTTTAAGAAGGATATAATAACATTTATCCATCTGTTATGCATGTTCACTGAAGAACATGCATAATAACGTTATACCCAGTTCCACCAGCAGCGTAATCACTTTCACCTGAAGTGTAGCCTATCTGTAGTCATGAAGCCCTACCATCCAGATCTGAATACTGATACTTGTAACTCATTTTAAGGTTCCTTCAGCATATCAGTCATTTAACTCCCTTCCTTCTCCTCGAGTTATACACTATATTTGATTTTTAGCTTACCAGTGCAATAGAAAAAACTAGAGCATGTTGAATTTAAATTGAAGTTGGGCAAATCATCTAGACACAAATCCTCAAGGGCATTTAGACACTTGGCTCATATTCAGGTAAGTCCTATAGATAGTAAAGGATGCCTTAGTTGTTTTATGCCTCAGTTTCCTTACCTGTAAACAAATCCTTCCCAAGATCTACCTAGCACTTCATAATCTCCAAATGAAGAAGGCTATCTATGTTCTGTGTTGATATTCTTCTCTCCTTACATCGACAAAGCAGAGCTTTCTCTTTTCAAACAGAATTTAACGTAAAGGCCCTCAATTATTTGTGTGGTTAAAAACTACACAGTAACTCGCTGCTTCACTAGTGCTCAATTCTAGTACATAATTATGCAGTTGACTTATTCCTCATAGCCCAGGAATGTCAAAGATTAGGAGTGCCCCTGGGATGCCATGTTACCATCTGACATTTTAGAAATTAAAATTATATACTTTTACATTGAGATGACTGCTGATAATTCACACAAAAACATGAACATATGATTATGCTTTGTCTTAATAACATTACTTGGAACTTTGAGATCATTACTGATAAGATTTTTTAAATGGTACTTAAATATCTGTGTAATCTAAAAATCAGTTTATAACCCCAAAATAGATTCTCAGTTCTCCTGTGAGATTTTATGTCAAAGTGATCGCTGTTGATGTGTTATCTTTGAAGAATTTTGGAAGTGTTATTCTACAGAAGACAATTTAGGAGATGTGTGTAGCTGAACATTTGCTGATACAGCTATATTTAAATTAACTAGTTATATTTAACCATCTTGGTAACCTCAGCTATCTACTCCTAGTGCAGTTACAATTTAAACTAGGAAAAGAATTCTTTCTCCAGAACAGCTCAGAGGCATAGGAAGAAGTTTTATTTGCAAAAGGTATTTTCTTGGTTCACCGGTATCTATATTCAGGTTTTTGCTTGATTAGCAATGCTGCCTTAATGTGCTAAACGTAGACCCAATTTACTCTCCCATTCTTTGATGCCATTGGCAAAACAACAGAGTTATTTTCTAAAACTACTTGCCACTTCCAGCTTTTTCTTATTAGCTAATTAGTTTGGACTCACATTAATAGTCCCTGCAACAATGATAGATGGAAAAGAAAACAGTAATCGAAGTCCAATGTACATTGGTAACCAATCAAAGTTGGTATGTATGTGTAGCAGGCCAAGCCAATTAGACACATGCCTACACATTCCTCTCCTTCCTTTTGCCTCCTAAGAAAACAGCAGCGTTCTCTTCCTGTTTTCTGTCCCAACTCTGTGCCAAAGATCTGACTTAAAATCTTCGCAAATGAAGGCAAAATAATAAAGCAAGCAACACAGTAATGCATCAACTGCCCCTTCTGGGAGAGAATCCTCAGTTCACCCAGTTCTCATAAAGAAACTTACATTTCAAATGTTTCTCCCATTCCCCATGGAGGTTGGTGGATTCTCTTTACAGCATTGCCTGTCCTTGACTGAAGAATTCTGGTCTCTGCTCTGTCCATATGTTTATCTGCCCCAAGGCACAGCAAGTTTCGGCCACACCACTGCTAACAGATATTTATCTGATCTGGTTTTAAAGAACTAGAGTGATGCTGGTTCCACAAATCCCAAGGCAGACTAACCTGCACTTTAGTATTCATACAATTTATAAATGCAGCTATTCCTGAATGTCTAAGTTAAATCTCCCCTCCTGCTCTTCAAGTCTGTAATTTCCATTCCTAGCCTAATGAGACGCGAATAATTTGTCACTTTTAATTCCCTTTTTCTTTCCAGCAACATTTTGCCTATTCAAAGACTCATTTCAGACATCTCCTCCCTAAACTGACTCACTTATTTCAATCTCCTACTTTCGGTAGTTTTCTAGCTCTCTAATCACTTCTAATCAGTCCATATCTTTCTTGAAATACAGTGCCCAAAATCAGATCCAAATGGTGTAGTTGACACTTTCTGTCAAGAAATGGAGTGAAAAGATGCTGTAGAACATGTGTTAAACCCTGTCTTCCTTTTTTTGCTATGTATTGGTACTGATGACTCATTTTCATGTTGTAAACTTGGAACCTTTTTCAGCAGTGAATGCTCATTTCTGATCTATTTATTGAGTTGATTACTTCTAAGTGTAGCATTTATCCTTGTTGATTTTAAATCATTGCAAGTATCATATTGAGTTCTAATTGTGTCCTTCAAAATGTTTGCAACCTCCTCTCAGCATAGTATTATACATTAAAGAAGCAACCTCTACTGCATTGCCAACTCATTAATGAATATGTTAAATAGTATCTGCGTAAGAACAGAGAAATGCATAATCTTTAGCACATCCACCCCATTTAAGAGTTCAGTAAAACATTTTCACCTTGTTTTGCCAACCACCATCTAGTAATTTCCTCAAGATCACATTTGCCTTCATTCATTACAAGAATCTATGGATATAGTTCAGAATGGGCATATTAAAAGGGATGTGACACTCTGCTATGGAAGAAAGTTAATTTAAATTATTCTTTGGAGAGAATAATATTCTAGGAATAGTCATTATTGCCCAAAGTAGCCGCATCACATTTTTTCTGATAGATTACTTTAAAACTCAAGAGAATTAATTAAAAAATTCAGTATTTGCTGTGATATACCACAGTAACATATCTAATCCATGAGAACTTTCCTATCTAAGCAAAGATCATAGACTCTACGTTGCAGTAAGTCTGGCCTCTCTGACGGCACTTTTGAGGAACAGTATGTAGGGCTTGTTTTTTTTGTGATAACTACTCAAAGACATATAATTTATTAGATACAATACATACTATAAGAATACCAAATGACTTTTCATTAAAGTACACAGCATCTCTGTATCTCATATTTCAATCTAAGCATGGAATTACAGAGATAGAACAAAGAACTAGATGGCTAGAGGGACAGGTAATTGGGGGACAGCAAACCAACATCTTTTGTGGCAGTAAAAACTGACACAAAGAGAAAAAACATGTATCAGGACTCCCGACTCAGAAAGGGTTGTGAACTTCATTAAAAAATTCAGTGATGGGAAGCCTGAAATAATGAAGCATCCAAGATTTTTCAGTACTTGTGGCAACAGAAATCTGACTCACTTCTTCCCTGACTTCACAGACTGAAGTAGCTAACATCTCTCAGCCCAGCATGACTTTGGTTGTACCCATGTCAGAGCAAGTGTCTGTGGAGCTGGTTTGTGAAAGATAACTATTGTCATATGTAGAAACAAATTGGCTTGTTATTAATTCCTCTAAAAACTGAAATGTCAGCAAACTACAACAATCCTTAAGGTGACGGTATCCAATACTTCTTTGCTCTTGTGACTGAAAAGAATAAGGAAACTCAGAAAATGAATGAGACCATTATTTAAAGTACTGGTATTATTGTACCTCAATTTTTTGATGAGAACTATTAATATCTTTCATAGCTCATGGGCCTAAATTCTTTTAGGAGGATGGTATCAAATGGGAAGAAAATAAGATGAGAGAAATCTCACTTATATTTACTATCCGTTTTTCTCTAAAAAGGACAATCCCAATTTTAATTATAGTCTCTGTTCCCTACTAATCAGTCATGCCACTCACAGATTAGTTCAGTGGTGAATAAGAAGGCGGCAGAAAAATATTTTAATTAAAAACACATCTATAAATAGCCTTATATAACCACTGTATAAAATGTATTACCTTGCTGTATTTATAAATTATGCTTCTTAATGCAAAATCCTTCAATTTTATCAGAAACAGAAACTGTTCTTTCTGATAAATATCCAATTTTATCAATAACAGCAGCAGTGCAACTCACATCTTCAGTTCAGCTGTAACCATAGTAACTTCAAATAGAGAAAAGCATTGTGATTATCAATATGACTAAAGGTAAGGGAGTTCACATAGCTCAGAAATAGCTCTGCTTCAGCAAACCTCGTGAAGGTAAATCTATGCTTGAAATGTCAAAAGTTAAAAAATAAAGAAGTGCTAAAGGCACATGAAATGTCTTTGGATTGGAAGGTCATTGCACAGAATGAAACAGCAAAGACAAACTGCCAAAGTTGTAGTTTCCAGTTATTTTTTGGTGGCTGAGGCAGAGGTCAAATCTTTTTATTCGTGTGCCAGTTTTGTCCTGTCACTCACTTTGTTCCATTACAGCCACTGGTACCTGAAGCAGCCTATTGCTGGGGCTTATTGCTGCGTCTGCCTTTCAGCCACAGAGGACAGTTGTCAGGATATCCTCATCTGTGCTCACACGTCAGGCAGTTTCATTTTGCAGGTCTCTGATGCTCAGGGTCCGAGAGCTGGGGGCTCCACTCCCCACCCCAGCACCTTTTCCACAGTCTCTTTGCTGCTCTTGATGAGTGATATGTGCACCAGAACAGAGGGAGGAACTGTTCCATCCCCTTTGAAGGGATCACACCAAGAAACTTCCAGAGTCAGGTTATATTAGAAATCAAAACACAGTACTAACACAAGGGAAACCTTTTCAACAGCGAAACAATGAAATCAGCTGTTTTATGCAGATGAGATAACAAGAAGAGATGATTGCCCCAACTACATGATATATGATACCTATTGATCAGAATAAAGAAAAATTATAAATACTGGTCTGATGTTTTAAATCAAAGACTAATGAAGGGATAATTTGATAATTTTAAAATTCTATTTCTTAGAAATTAAATCTCTCATCTGAAGTCTTGAAATGAGAAGCTTTTTCTGCTGAAAATGATAAATTATGGGAAGGAGATATTTGAAGGAGATTCATTTGAAAGTAGCCTTGCTTTGTCCCTGAAGTTTCTACCTTCTCTTTCTACAGACATGAGAGTTTTTTGAGGCATCCCTAAGTATCACAGATGTTTGGAGATCACAGCCTATAAGGCAAAACACAGTTGCAAGTATAACCTGTCATAAATTCATTTCTCAATCTTAATTCAAGTGCTAGTTTTCTGTATAAGGGAACTTACAGCATATAAGAGCAATTCTTCTGAACTACTTTCATACAAAAATCTCTATATTAAAGATCTTCAAATACCCTTAAAAACTAAAACCTACAGAGTGCTCTGACATAATTTCCTTCTTCCTAATCATATTAGCAACTTTTAGCTGGCATACATTTGTTTACTGCCCTGGTAGTAAAATTCTTCATTTAACAGGTAAACATCTACTAGTCATCTTTACTATTACAAATAAGGAACTTAAAACAACTTCCGTCAAGTCAACAGGTGAGTTTTTAACATCTTGTGAGACTTAATTGCTTTCCACAGCCAAGGGAAATTAAATCTCTTTTTAAAATGATCTCATAATCCTACACAGTGAAGAATTAAGTGAAAAATCAGGAATTCACTATTTCTTCTTAGGACGGTAATTTATTATTCTATCCTACTTCTATAACATTAACATTTTACCAGAGATTTCTTTTTTTGTGAAAGCTAGATATCACGTATAAAATCGTAAGACTGATTATTTTATGGCCTAGCATGTATCAGTCCTCCAGGGAACCATATTTTAACTGATTGTGGGATTCCAAGGAGCTCTTTACATGGCTTGAAATTGTAATTCACTAGCCAATCCTTCAACACAATGAAATATTTTCAGCAATGTCTACCATTTAAGCAAGAATTTCATTCAAAATTCTCTAAGACTTCGAAGGACTGAAATTTACAGATAAGATCAGTGAAAACATGAAACAGCTTAGAATATTGTGAATAGATAACAGAGGGAGCAAGACTGAACATTAAAAAAAACCCTTGGACATGCACAGACACTCTATATAAGCAGAAGAGTAATTACAAACAGTATTGATCAATGATAGTTAGTCACAGTAAAAGTAGTTTTCTCTACTGCAGTGTTAGCTTTTTAAGCCTATTTAAAAATCTGGGAAAAGTAATCCTTTTCACTTCTTATTCCTTCCAGCGCAGGAGGAGCTTCTCTTTTCTCATGATTGTTCCAGATTAATCAGTGGTGATTGAATCCTATTATAATCAAAATCAGTGCGTTTGTCTTACATATTTCTCCTTAGAAGTCAACACATTTGTTTATGGAACTAAATAGTATTGGACTGGAAAATGGGAAAAGAAACTAAGCCAACTGCAAAACTCTATGCATAGCACAATCAAGAAACATGCTTGGAAGATGTAAGCAACCTTTTATTCCATGAGCAATTTATTTTCCTAGGTTTTCTTTGTGCTTTCAATCTCTGTGTTTTTCTCTTGCTTTGAGGATAGGCTCCAATCATGTGCTGAATCTTATTAAAGTAGTTGGGGGATTTTATAAGTAGCAGCATATTGGATGCTTGGGTTAATTTGAGAGTAACAATTTGATGCAGCTTCTACAGCAATCTTGCAACAACTGGTTTTGTGGAAATAAATTGTTTTAGACCATATTTTTAACCCATCAGAATGATAAATCACAAGCTCAAAGTCTTTTGTTAAATATTGAGGGTTGTTTAAAGAATGGAACAAATGTGTGGAACAATGTTGCTTTTTGTAATTTCTTTTAATAGCCATGAATTTGGAAGATTTATTCATAAATTTCTCAGAGAACTTCTCAAGGGTAGTTAACACTAATGCAGCATGTCATGTGCATCACAAAATTCTTTCTGTTCCACTTCCTGTAACAGCTCAACTGAAAATTTTGCAAAAATCCAATCTATCCTTGCAGACTTTGTACTTTGTCTCTTTGTAGATAACATATAAAAAAATCCTTTTTTCATCTCATCCTTCACTATTGTCCCACAGATGCAAAAAGCAATACTTTCCTTTTAATATCAGAGTACACTTATTAACATCTTCATGGACAAATCTATGAAACCTAGGCTAACTTTGAGGTTAGCTCCTTTTTGATTAGGAGGTTGGACTAGAAGACCTCCAGACATCCCTTCAAATCTAAATGATTCTGTAATTCTGTGATTCCAAAATCCACTGAATCTGTTTCCCAGACTTGGGTCTTTAATGTAACATTAGGCTTTAAATCTCACATCTGCAAATTCAAGTCACCCTGTTGGTATCTATCTTTCTAGCTGTATTTATCATGAAAGACTGCATTCAAACTGTAAACTGATACCTTATGACCAGTATTTATATGGCCAAATCTGAAAGCTAGGTTCCCCATATCTTTAAATTGGGTTAGATCACACATGAATGCAATGTCTAAATTATTAATTATGAGGCTCCAGCGTTACAGCAGTTCTTACATCAGCAATGAAAAGAAAGGTGTCCTGAAGACTGGAGAACAATATTTTTCCAATCTCCCCAGCAACTTCGTTTATAAAGTTTGTGAGCTAAGCATAGGTAAACCAGTTACTAAAACAAACACAAGGGATCTCTAGAGTAAATTTGATGTACGATTATCAGAATATCAGACATTTAACAGTTATGGGAATAAAAAAATCAAAAACAGAGACTTTGAACATTTCTATGGCACATACAGGTGTTACAGTCATATTTACTTTTCTTAATTTTGAAAAAGTAATTTAAATGATTACCTGGATCCGTGGCAGACATCAGTGATCCAAAAAATAAACAGTCAGTGAAGTGGAATTCCCATCCTTTTAACTGGCCAATGGGTACCATGGCTTTCACAAAACCATACATTATCAACCTGTCAGGGGAAGGATAAGACAAGAATTCAGACAGAGTATATAACACTTATGTTTAATTTACAGTATTAAGCAAGTTCTTATTCTCTTCAGCTTCTTTTAAATAAATGTATCACGTGAATACTGAACATAAACTGCTATCATAAAAATTCTGCCCTCCTATTCAACTCTTCAAGTATTGTATCAAAATGTCACAGACAATTCCAAAGCAAAGACTTTTCTGAATAATTGTCATCTGCTGGGAGCAGAGAACAATGCTTTTAGCTGTTTATTTTTCAAAAGGAATGATAATGTAAGCTTAAGAAGACATTATTAAGATTAATTTGTCTAATGTAGAACATTTAAACAAAGGCAGTTCTACTATCAGCTCTGTGGCTTGCTCTAATATTTCTAAATGAATTGTTTTATTCTATCAGCTTTCAAATGTTAGCTGTATTCAAAGTTCCAGATAAGGTCTCCAAAAGAGATAGATATTTAACAGCTCACAATGACAGTGAGGCAACAAAGTCACACTTCAAAATGCACTGATAAATCCTCCTTAGTTTCACAGGAAGTGTTATCTTTGGTTTATACAACAAGGTAATGCTATCTGAGATGTGTATTCTAACAAGAATCTTGAAATGTCTTGAAAAAAGGAATTCACCTGTTAAGACCTATAGTAGATTTTTAAATTTTTGCACATTTCTAATCTAGTTAATAAAAACCTGCATTGCATTCAATACTTTTTCCATAAACACAACACATAAATTGACAGCTGTGGTCTTCTAACTACAGACTTAAACAAAAATACTTTAAACAGAGCTACATGCATTCACATACTTAGCTACATTTTGCTCTCAGCTGTAATCCTAAAATGTTTCTGAAGTTGCGTAAGTACAGAAGGTCTGAGTAACAGAGAAAGTGCTACTAAAGAAACAGCCTGACAGTTAATTACAAGTTGTTTTCAGATACTTTACCAAGCTGTAGACTTTCTGAAGTATAGTAACATTACATTAAGAGGGAAGCAGATAGGTCACCACAGAATTCCCCAATGGGAATGGGAAATCCCCAATTTGTGTACACATTTACATAAGCTGCCTAGCCAACAGTTAGCCACCAATTTCCTAAAGCAATTTATCCAGCTGTGGGTCCCCTGGATTGATGAGCTCACTTTCTCTCAACTCTCAAAGAATAATGCTTCAAGACCCTGCAGTGAAGTTAGTCTTGTTATCCCCAGCACAAATATGTTTGCTTTAAGGAATGAGTTCTTAAAAAACCGACAGTGGTGCTGCTATCCTGATTTGCAGTTGTCTCAAAAGTCAACAGTAACAGAAGTGAACGTATGCATCGCTTTTAGAAATAATTGCTCAAACCTGCTTGCAGTTTTGACCACAGGTACTCTTCTGACTCAGTTAAAAATATTTAAAAATAATTAATAAAATGAAGTTTTGACTATCTGGCAAATTTAGTCATCTTTAAATACCCAGTGTAGACATCATCCTGGTCTTTAGGATTGTTTCTTATACACTACTAAATATTTTCATTATGTTTCTGCTTACTATCTGTACAAGTTGCAAATGAACTGGACAAAATGGATTAAGGAGTCCTTCATTGACATAAAAGGTCTAAGTTTGCCATAAAGTTTAGTACAGTAGAAGACTTACAGAACCTGGTCTTAGTTCACATACCATTCAATTCTTGGCTGCATTGAAAAGGGAAATAAACCTGAAGATTCCCAGACTAAACAGTGGTGCTGACTTAATCACTAAGATGTTAACCCTCATCCAGCAAAGAAAAGAGAACAGCAAACTCAGAATATTGTTTTTTTTAAAAAAAAATCATGAACTACTTACTACGTTTTGCTAATGCTGTACAGATTTAACACATATGAAAACATGCACAGAAATAATTTCCTGTTGTAAATTAATTTTTAAAACACACTGGTTTATCTTTTCTTTAAAAGCTGTATATTTTAAATGAAGTTAATACATTAAAGTGATCATTAACTATCATTTATCAGTGATTTCTTACTACACACAGCCATACAAAATGCAATCCCCCCCTTCACTTTAAATAACTTTACAGTAACTTTAAAATAACTTTAAAACAGAAATAATTTATAATTTTCTAGTCACCCCAACATTTGGTTTCTTGTCTTCTGCAAACTACACAAAAAGTTCACCTAGAGGCTATTTTGAAAACCAGAAATTAAAGGGCAATTCTGAACCAAAGTAAGTTTTATGATGTTTGTAAAATTAACAGAACTATGGCAGTTTATACTAGCCAAGAGCTTGCTCTCAGGAAAATAATTTAATAAATTCATCGTAATATGATACTAACACATTCACTAAAAAAATGGGAGTTTGCCTTATTCTTTTCTCTAGATATATCACAAACAGAGTATGCATGTGTTTAGTATTTTTTAAAATTCCATTTCAAATAAAATTGCTTTCGTTATCCTGCACATGACATCAGATCCTGTTCTCAGTTTTAGAGATTAGAACTAAATCCCAAGTCTAAATCACAGGAGTTACTCTGCATTTTAGACTGGTAAAACTGAGATCAGACTCTAACCCTGTGTATTCCGGCTTGCAATTTTTTACTACTCAAAAATGTCACTCTGGCTTTATCATTGTCTTCAGTGACAGAGATTATTCAGGTGGAACAGTCTAATATATAATGAAATTTAAACAATAAAGCAATTTATTTATGAGGAATATTAACAACAACTCTTTTTAGAATACTAGTTGATGATGTAGCGTGACTTTTCCAGTATATATTGAAAAGTTGTATCTCAGCTGGATACTTGAGCTCACAATGATAGTGGCATTACACATCATCCAGTACAACTGTTCTGAGTGGAAATCCATGAAGGAAAGCATACCCCAATGACAGCAGGACATTAATCCCAAGGAAACACCCTGCACTGATGTCACTATTGCTATTATAAACTAGAACTGAAAAAAATAGCCAGTGTTTTTTACGGCTGTTGTCATTTCATTTGATACATCTAGGTTATTTTTAGCAAGTTTACACCCACCAAGTTTCAGAAAATCTGATTGCTTTTATTAATCTTCAACAATTCATTTAATATATGTTAAAAAAAATATTGAAATAGCTGTTAAAAAGTTGCAAATAAGTCAGTGTGTCAGTGATTCTGAATTTCCTCCAGAATGTTCCTGTCCCACTAGAACACGTTTCCCAACCCAGTGCTCAACTGCTGATACAGAGCAGGCTATTGACACCAAACAAGATAACAATATTAGGAGCTCTGAATCTGTTTAGTAGGACAGTACCTCCATTGTTCTGATTCCTGCCTGTAAAATCACCATTTTTACTTTACTTTTTTACTAATCTAGAATGCCAAGTTTTATTTTTCATTATTTTAGAATATCAGAACTCAGGTCTTCAAGGCTGCTTAAAAGAAATAGAAGATGAGTTGCAAATCAATGTAACTCTAATTTCCAATGTGGCTTTAAAAATCTTAGCTTTAAAATACGCTTGCAAAGTAGTTTTATTTCATATGCTTTTTTAAATCTATATTGTAAGTTCTTTGGGAAAGTGATTGCCCCTTATACTACGAGATCTTTATCTCTCTGTTCTACATCATGCTTCTCTGATAATAAACTTCATAAAATAACTGTTATTTTCTGTATATATCTGGACTTTCCATTTATACCACAATGTGTGCATCATTTAGAATACTGTATTAGCCACCTGAGGCAGTGTTCTTTTATTTCCCCAAAATGAAGTAGCAAGTAATATTCTGCGGAACAAAAAGAATGAGGCACAGATGTATGAAAGGAGTTAGGTGACTTATATTGAAAATCTGAATCTTCAGAGCTGCTGCCTTAGAGCCCTACTACCCTTAATTTTCATCTATAAAGCCTCTTAATTCTCATCAAGTCTTTTGGGGGGGGGGCTTGTCTAGCATTATGTAATCCATGTACTCATTGTCTAAAGATCCTTTGGGATTCACAAACTAGTGAATGATCTGTCTTGCCAGTGAGGTCTGTTAGAAGTATGCTGAGACCTGGACCTCACAGAACCCAAAGCTGAATGAAAAAGAGATTGTTCCACTTCACAGTCCCTTTTCACTCAACTCTAATAGAGCAAGACACGTAAGCCTCAGATTGAAAACCCTGCTCCACCTTGTTCCCCTTCACTTTTCCTAGATACTAAGAACATGCCATAGGAGACTCTAGGTTCCCAGTGCCTAGAAGCTGTTCCACTTTGGTTATCATTAGCCATTCATTAAACTAAACAGCTAGAAATTGCATGAATGTGAAAATGTGACGTGATATCAGGTGATTTGGGTCCTCATCCTGGGTGATGGAAGTCTGAGCTTGAGCCTATACTTTGACCTCTAATTTTTTTATCTCCTCTGTCCCTCCAGCTTTGTATAGGTAACTTGAAGGTGTGAATTCTGCTAGGTGACAAAGTGTCTCAAACCATGTCTTTTTTGCATCCAGGAATATAGGCCTGTGCAAGGAGCTACATACAATCAATAAAGAGTAGGGAGTTGATTTGGGGTTGCCCTACCTCCATATCAACTTCTTATTGTCATGAATAACTACGCAAATTCATCAATTTATTTGCGTGATCAGAAACTAGATGATTAGTAACATTATACTTTGAAAAGAAATGGTAACTAAATTGATCAGTAATAAACAGTCGCTAAAGACTTCTCAGTTGGACTTAGTGATGATTCAGTACTGCAAATAATATTTGTGAATAACTGATTTGGTCATGGGCTAGAGAAGTGATCATCCCTTTGTACTTGGCACTGGTGAGGCCACACCTCAAATACTGTGTTCAGTTTTGGGCCCCTCACTACAGGAAAGACATTGAGGGGGTGGAGCGTGTTCAAAGAAGGTCAATGAAGCTGGTGAAGGGTCTAGAGCACAAGTCTTACGAGGAGTGGCTGAGGGAACTGGGGTTGTTTAGCCTGGAGAAAAGGAGGCTGAGGGGAGACCTTATCGCTCTCTACAACTACCTGAAAGGAAGTTGTAGTGAGGTGGCT